ATCCTGCATTGGCCAGGATGCAGAATTAATATTAACTGTCAAAGGAGGGAGTGAAGCACGACATTATTGCTTATGAATTAACAGGGAGAGCAAGGATGGCACAGGACAAGGACTCAGGAGAATTGGGTTCAATTCCCAGCTCTGTCACTACCTGCGTGACCTGGTGCAAGTCACTCCATCTCTCTGTGCCTCAATACCCCTGGGGTGTGTAGCTCCCACTAAGGGATGTGGGGAGATATAGTCATTAGCTATGGCGAAGCGCTGTGATGCTACAGCGATGGAGACAGAGTGGGTAACTAGACTGGGATGCAGATATTATAAATCCCACCCACCAATCTTAGCTCAAGCAAAATTCCTATTGGGTTGAGAGGATGAATTTGACCTAGATGCTTTGGGATGTTTAATTTGCAGCCTTCCCTTGGCAAAGATCATCCCCCTTCTCTGTCCCAGATGTATATTCTGGAAGCCTGATCCCTGGGAGTGGGGAGAGAATGGAGATCCAAGACAACTAACTGATTCAGGGTCTATGCAGAAAGACAAATTGCACATTACAGAGAAAGGGGACCAAGGAAGCTCCCACGCTGGTGACCTTTCTGCTAAGAGAGAACCTTGCTCCCAGCAGACACACAGATCTAGAAAAGGAGTACTTGTGGCACCTTGTATGCATCCGATGAAGTGAGCTGTAGCTCACGAAAGCTTATGCTCAAATAAATTGGTTAGTCTCTAAGGTGCCACAAGTACTCCTTTTCTTTTTGCAAATACAGACTAACACGGCTGTTACTCTGAAACAGATCTAGAAGGAAACCCTGCCAAATGTTCCTGCATCTCTGGGGATCAGACCAATGCCCCGTCTAGTCCAGTAGCCTGTCTCCAACAGCAGCCAGCACCAGACGTTTAACAGGAAGATCCTGCAGTTACAAGATAACCAGGCTACCTCACCAGCCATTTGCCTTCCCTGGATAATGGACTTTTTCTATGCTTTTAAATACCCCCTTCAAACGCAAGGCTCCTATAGCTTTAGCCCCTCCTGGCTCCCAGAGCAAATGCCTGATTCTCTGTGAAGGAGGACTCTGGATGAAGGGGTGGGGAAAGAATGCCTCAGAGGTCTTTACCCTGAAAGAAGGGGATGCAGACAGAGGGATGAAGTGTCCAAAAGGGGGGTGGGGAAGAAAAAAAAAAGACCTCTGGCAAGTCCACAGGAAAAAGAAACCCTGGAACTCAGCCAGGCTCTGGGACTCGATTCATCACCACAGGACAAATGGGCAGTGACACAGTGCGAGCTACTATATTGCACCTTCTCTTCGCTCTGATTTTAACCTACTCACTGAAGGAGGCTTTGGGAGAGAAATTGGCTTTTGTCCAACTTCTCTGGAGCTGGCAGTGAAGGGACAGGAGCTACAGAGCACAAGGGCCTTGCAAAAGGTCCAGCACAAATAAAAAATACCAAGAGCTCCTCAGAATGCAATATTTGCCCTAGTGTCCCTTTGATGCCAGCTCCTTCCACTTCCCCAGGCTTCTGCTGTTGCTTATTTAGTGCACTTAAAATGAGGATTCAAAGGACAGCTGAGAAAAATCCACTTTCCCCTTAAAAACCATCCCCCTCTCTGTTTAACAGTGAGCTCTCCACAATGCAAATGTGCCTGAAACCCCCTGTTGATCTCTCTCTCTGTCACATTGGCATTCTCTCTCCTCTCCCCACAAAGGAGTTGCATCCATCATTATGGTAACTGCAGCTCTTCCCAGTTATTGCTACTAATCGTTCCTTGTACTGCGCCATAAACGGCCCTTTGCATAGAGCACGTGAGGTACGCTCTTTGCTCCAAAGAGCTTGTTGCCTCGGATCAAACAAAAGACAAAGACAAGACGGGAACAACACTGAGGTAAAGTCGGGGTGTGGAGACAGGAGGACACAGGAGAATACGGAGGATTTCTTGCTAAAGGAGAGAGTGTTTGACACCTGACCCAGAACTCATGGTAGCCAATGGGAGTCTTACTTGCTACTACAGTGATGAGGGCTGGACAAGAACAGAACTGAACCACCGGATCAGACCTGGGGCGCACAAGAAGTGGGAGGCTATTCCAAGTGTTACGAATGCTCCTGCACTTTTGGGGACAGGAATGCCCCTTCCCATCCTGGTATTGGTCGCCTGCATGATCGTGGAACAGTGCAAGACCAACTCTAACAGAGGGAGCTGCAATTTTTTTGCCTTCAGAATGCATAAGCACAGAGCGATATCAAACATACCCTCCCAGCCCCTCAGCATGCAGAACCCAAACAGTCGGTAGTCCGGGGAGGGGATCTTCACTGTCGCCTTGGGAGGTTTTGAGAAATGCTGCCCCCACCCCAAATGTTCCTGCATGGGAACTAGCTTCCTTGCTCCCTCCTTCATGTTGGTGGGGGGCTTCTCTTTGTTTTAATTATGAATTGAAGGCACCTTCCTTTCCCGTGTCCTTCCCTACACATGGGGCCTGATCCAAAAAATCAGTGGCAAGCCTTCCATTGACTTCTGAGACCTTTGGATCAGGCCCTTGAAAAGCTCTTCTCAGATCCTAATAAACCCTGCAGTTCCCCTGCTGGCAGTTAAGTGCTTGCCTGGAAACATCACACGGAAAGGAATGGATGCGCGGACAAAACGTGAGTGTGGGAGTCGGTGCACCCACAGCCCAGCTCACATCAGCCTTGCCCCCATATCCTGGTATTGAGGAAGCTGGCTCTCATTAGGATGGCTGCTGGGTTGCTAATGACTCCAGTTCACACCGCTACCTTGGAAGGTCTGACAGCATTTCATTAGGAGCTCCTATTTTTAGAGGGATTTGTAACTCAACTGGGTGGAAAAAAGAAAACCTGCTCTGAGCCACCAGCCACAGGATGAATTTACACATATGCCTGCACAGACACACACCCCCTCACACACGTGTGTTCAACCAATACTCAGAGTTCAAGAAGTATAAAAGAGGAAAATAAAATGACGGGTCAACTGCCTTTAACCTCTAACTCAAGTCCCCCTTTGGCACTCTAAAGACTGCTTCCCAGGCCCTCAGTCCATATCAAGGACTGGACCCTTGTGATAGAATTGTCCCATTTGCACAGCTCAATTATTTAACCCCTTCACTGCCAGACCCCCCTCCTCCCTGATGCTTCAGCACTGCTCAGTGAAAATGGAGCTTCCATTGGGTTTAACTGGCATCTGTTTGAAGGATGATCCTGACCTGGGCATTATACTGGATGAAGCAGAGCCACTGGGCAAAGTAGTTTTAACTCATCCATGTTTGAAAACTGGTTGCTATGGAAAGTTCAAGCACTTTTTTCGCTGATTTCCCCCACCCCCTTTCTCACTTTGGGCCCAATCCTGCCTACGCTTACTCACATAAGTAATCTTTACTCATATAACCCCTGAGCCAAATCTTACCCACCTCACTCATGCCAGTGAGTAAATGGGAGTACTTGCATGAGCAAAGCAGACAAGATTTGACCCACTGACTTAAAAGAACCTACTTGTGTGAGCAAAGATTAGTCACTGTGCATTTATCCCATCCTAGCCTCGAATTTAGACAGCACTCCTCCTGCATTTACACAAGCTGGTGACGCTCACTGCACAGACACAAGTGATTACGGATTTATACAATAGACTGGTATGGTCCCTTTCATAGAATCATAGAATATCAGGGTTGGAAGGGACCTCAGGAGGTCATCTAGTCCAACCCCCTGCTCAAAGCAGGACCAATCCCCAATTTTTGCCCCAGATCCCTAAATGGCCCCCTCAAGGATTGAACTCACAACCCTGGGTTTAGCAGGCCAATGCTCAAACCACTGAGCTATCCCTCCCCCCCCTTTGAGTCTAAAGAGTGTTGAACTAAGCTCCCTACATTTGTCTTGAAGCAATTATCACACTCAACACCACTTCCGAGTTGGTGAAACATTACACCCACTGTGCTGGGCCCTTAGTATCAAGTCATGTGCGAGAAACTAACTGCAAGCGTCCCCCAAACTGGAGTCCTATTGAACTGCCCTTGGGGGTAGCATACAACATGACATACCCCTTGCTGCTGCAATAATCTCTGCATGGAAAATCGAATTAGGGACTCCCAACAAAATGGGGAGTTCCTGGGCTTTTGTCCAGTCGGATTTCATACCCATAAACATTATTTCAATGCTTTGCCTAGAAATGGCTGGACTGAGTGACCTCCTCCCCCACTGCTGTTTCAACTTGCACTTTCTGCTCTGCCTGAGATGATATATGACTTCCAGGAGCACAGACCCAGGAAATGAGTCACACAGAGAGAGGGGCCCGAAGGAAAAAAAGAGAGATCTAGTTATCCATTACCAGGCTTCCCCCCCACGCACCATCCCAAACACCCTTCTTCCTTGCCCCCAAACATAACTTGCCCTGCAGATTCCTCAACAGAGGAGGGCTCATCCCTTTTCCCCATGTCTTCCTCCAAGGAAGAGAGCTCTGAAAGCTTTTCCTTTAAGCCAGTCCAGAAGTTGGCTCGCACCAGAGCCGGTAAGTATGAAAGAGATTCGCCCCCTCCCCACATTTAACAGGAGGACAACGACTAAGAAAAGAGCCAAAGGATGCAGCCACTGCCCTGGCTTCCTTCTCCCAGCTATATCTAGCGCACACAGTCACTGTGCATGGCGGGGGCGGTGGGGGGCAGAGGCTTAGCCCACTGCTCTCCCCTCGCACCTTCCCAGCCATCCAGGCACAGCGCTACAGGAGACCCGGGAGCAGGTGTGCCAATGGAGACACAGCCTGGGTACGCCAGGGACAGATTCTCTGCTTCCCAGCAATGCCCCTTGCTACTTCCGAGGCACTGGCTCCCCGCACCGGGGTCGAGTCCCGCAGCAGCCCTGCACAAGCGGGCAGCCCTACGCCCATGTTGCACCATCCGAAGGCGGCTGGCGAACCTCGGGCTTCGCCCCCTCCCCGGACGCTGACCGCGGTGCACAAAGGAACTCTGTCCAGCTCAGCCATGCAAGCCCGAGCAGAGGGAGTTACCTTATCCTGGCAGCCTGAATTGCCTCCTCTCTCCATGGCGAGCTGGGAAGCGGCTCCCATTCATTCCTTAATCCTTGGGAACAGAGGCACGATTGAGAGCGACGCCTCTCCCTGGCATATGCCTCCCCCCGCCCAACTCCTCTCCTCTGCCTTCTTTGTCTGGGGTTGTGTTTTAATCCAAGCACAAACCGAGAGTCCCCCTGCCTCCCCCTTCACCCAAGCCAGATGACAGCAGAGCGACCCTCCTCCTCCAGCTGCTGGCTGCTGTGCGCGCCGCGTCCCCAGGTCTGGCTCTCTGCAGCGCGGCGGTGGGAGAGAGGGGGAGAAGGTGGGTGGGTGGGGAGAGGAAGGGTTTGTGTCTAAAGCAGCACTGACAGCCCCCCTCCACCTCAGAGAGGAGGGCCCGCACTGCTAATGGTCGGTACCAATTTATTCCACTTAGGCAGGGGGCACTTCTCCCTGCAAGGCGGGGACAGAGCCTGGGAATGCTTGGAGATGTTCCCTCGAGGAATTGGTTTCAGCTCCCCCCTGGCTCAGCCTCTCCCACAGAGTTTCAAGCTCAGCGTGCAACCAAATACAGAGGGAATGAGGGAGGGACGACACTCCGGGACAGCTGTCCCTTGCAGATGGGCTGCAGCAGCAGCATCTGGGCCCCCTCCCTCTCCTGGGATTCCCAGGTGGGGGCTCAGCCATTCAGAGACACAGGGGACCATGAGCACAATTCAGATCCAACCAGGGGGGCTGGGAAGCAGAAACCGCCCGGCTTGAAGTGGTTTCCATCACATACCGGGTTTGCAATTTGGTTCAACGGCTCTCAGCACCCCCCACTATACAAATTGTTCTAGCATCCCTGCTTCCAGGATGTTGGGATCCAAAGGCCTGGGCTGGGTCCAGCATGCCTCTCCACATGTCAACTTTTCAGCACCCCTCCCTCGCATCTTCCCCACGCCTGCTGTTGCTGGATCCTAAGTAGGGTCAGCCCCTAAGTTTTGCAGGGGATGGGTCACTCTGGCCAAACCTCGTCCCCTGACTCCCTTTCTATCTAGGACCCGTTCTCCACACCATTTCCTCCCTCTCCCTGATCTTCTCGGGTTGCACCACCACAACCCCCCTCTGCACAGATCCCAGCAGCCGCTCACCCCCTCCCTCGTACATGGGCCAGGAAGCCAGAAGGTGGAGCTGAAGCATAATTCTCCAAGTGGGGAGCACAGGACAGAAGTTCGGGAATGGATGTTCTGCTGCAGCCGGAGTCACAGGACCATGGAGAGGGAATGGAGAGAATTTGCCTGGGAGAGCGGAGAGCTGCCCCAGGTGACTGCATGGATACAAGACTGCCCTCATTTTGTACAAAGAGACACTGACCCACGCCAGCTCGGAGGGGCAGGCTGGGGGAGCTCCAGACCCAATGGGCAGGCTGGGAACTTATCCCCTCACCCATAAACCAGGAGGGCCACCAAGCTTCATGGAGGAGACCAGTCTTCAATGGGCAGCATCCTAGCAGCACCACCAGAAGGGTCCTAGCCTCTCTCTCTCTGGAAAGCCCACCTCCACCTTCTTAACCAGCTAGCCATGCCTCAGTGAAAAGATCTACTTGGTAACCAGCACCTCAGGGACAGGACAACATCCCAGGGCACTGTTCCAGCCACTGGGAGAGGGGAAAAGTGCCAGCAAGGAAAAGGCATCCATCATAAATAGAGATTAAAAAACCCTAACATGTAATACCTTTCCAAGACCTGAAGAAGATCTCTGTGTGGCTCAGAAGCTTGTCTCTTTCATCAACAGATGTTGGTCCAATAAAATGTATTACCTCACCCTCCCTGGTCTCTATAAAAACCATCTGGCAAGGAAAATTCAGAATATCCCTGTGATTGTAATAATAGCATCTACAGGCCCACATTGTGCTGGCTGCTGCACAAACACATGGAAAGAGACAGTTGCTGTCCTTTATAGCTTATGCCTAAATAGTCAAGACAAACGTTGGGGGAAGAGGCAGTCAGAGAGGAATGATTTGCTAACGGTCAAAAAGAAGGTCATTGTGGCAGAGTTGCGAATAGAACCCAGGACTCCTGATGCCCAGTCTAGTGCCCTACACACTAGACCCCACTGTCTTTCAATAATGGGGAGGATTAGGTACCCTGGATGTCATACACACCAGGGGAGCCTGCACCTAAATAACTGGGACACTAACACGTTACTTGGGAGCCAAGGGCCTTCCCTAGGTCCCGGCCTTGGTTGCCCATTAGTTGAAGTAGCACAAGGATGCCCAGGGCAATGAATTCCTTTCACACGCCAATCAATGTGGACTTCCAAGTCAAATTTGGGCTAATTTATGCTTTACCTGCCACCTCCCACTCCCACTGCCAGCGTAAGCAACCTCATTTTTGCCACCTGATAGAAATATCCCTTGATAGAAATAGTCCTGATAGAAATGTCCCTTATCTCCCACCTGCAACATACACCCTCCTGTAGCTGCAGCTATGCCCTCCACCCTCAAGGCAGATCACAATGTCATCACTAATGCTGCCAGCGAGGTGAGAAAGATCTAGCTACAGGTTCACAAAAAGGACGAGTGAAAAACAATAGCTACCTGCCAGTTACTGTAAGAAGCATCAGCCGTGGAAGAATTGAGACCCAGGCCATTTGCACAGCCCCACTGACAGCTGCATTCTCAGGACTTTGCCTTTAAGGCAGCAATATGAGTGCCCCAGTATTCAGACTCATATGTAAGCCACCCTGTTTCCAATGGAGTTCAGAGAGTTCTAGGTATTCTCTACAAAATATCAAGGACCCATGCACAGGAAAAGGTAACAGGCACACATCTCCAAGCTCTCTGCACTATAGCAAGACTGGAACTTTTGGCACGTCACCTTCCTCTGCTTCTCTTCCCCCCTTTCATCTCTCTGGAGTTCAGATGCAGGTTTCTGACACCTCCATGAATTGGATCCCTAACTAAGAAGGTGTCATGGACTCAGCAGCCTGCTAACAGTTCAGGCAGATTAATAAACATGTTAGCTTTCACCTTCCTCTCTGTGGGCCAAATTCTGAGGCACTTACTGAGGCAAAACTCTCAAGGAAGTCAGTGTGAGTCTTGCCTGAATCCTCTGGGGTGTTTGTATTGGGGCGGAACAGAGACTATGTTGAAGTGCCAACGAAGGGCAGACAGGAGCATTGCAAACTCCGTTCCAGACAAGACATGGGGGACCCGGATGGTTCTGGACTCGATAATGGAATACAGAGTATTCTACATCTAGATCACTGGTTCAGCTTGTACCCAGCCCAGTTGTGGCTGAAAGTCACTTCTGTGGGCTACATGAGGTGAATTGATGGTCTCCATTCAGTCCTCAGCGGACTGGTGTCCACCACAGTCACAAATCAGGGCTCCTTGTTGCCAGTCTCAGCAAAGAAGCCTGGATTCAATAAACCACCAAGCGTGATGTGTCCTTTCTCTGTAGAGGCAATGTCACCAGATCTGGTAGAAGTATAATGGCAGGAGGGTGGTGTGTCAGGGAATTTTGCCCAGTAGCTGCCCCACATGTGGTACCTGCTCCAAGGGTAAGTAGAAGACAACTTCAGTCTCCAGGGCTGTCAATCCAGCATCTTTCACCAGAGCTGGAGAGACTTCTGAAGTGTTACACACAAAAGAAAATCCAGTCAGGTCAGCCTTTGCCCTGCTGTTTTCCTACAAATGGTCCAGTTCCGGTATGGGAAGAGAACATGGCTTTTTTGTCACTGGGCATTATCATTTTCAGCAAGGTACCTAGGGAGAGCTCAGCTCCAAATACTCTACTCGTTTGGCAATTTTGTGCCAATTCAGCTAGTAATAAGGGTTTTGCTGAGCTCTACATCTATTAAAAATTCATGATGTCCAATTACATCGAAAGGGCGGATGCTGCCCTGGGAGCCAGGGGCATGTTTAAAAAGCAATTGGTGGGGGAGGGGGTCACCCTTATTAAGACAGGGATCTGGGGGAAATTCCACACTATGCATGGTGCAGGCTTTAGGTAGGCGTGTGGGTGTGTGTGGGGGAGGGGGGAGAGATTAGACTTTCTATAGGGGAAGGAAATTAAAAATGGACTCATGCCACAAAATCCAGCTGTATATTTTGAACACTCAAAACTCTAACGCTCCTTGGATCTGGTCATAATAGAAATAGCAGGGAGCTGCAAATTCAGGCTCAGCTCTGAACTGGAGTCTCAGAAGCCCCATAAAAGTGCAGGGTCTTGGGACATGGCATTCTAGCCCCGGCCTATTGCTAACAGCAAAGAAAATAGGTGGGGTGTGTGTGGGAGAACAAGAAAAACTGAAAATTACAGACTCAGAAACAGTTTGAGCTTGTTCCATGATCAAGCAGCACAACAATGGCGCAGGGCTGCTGCTGAGCCATTCAGCAAGGGTGTCTCCGTGAACCTTGCGCTGGCTGCACATTGACTTGTTCACATGCATGGTATTGTGCATGCCATATATTCACTGGTGCCACCTCCCAGGGTTAGGGCAAGCCTGGGCAAGATGGAGATGGGCGTGAAGAGGAACTCAAACAACCTCCCAAGAGACTATGGTGTAATGTGGCAGGGGCAGTAGACGTTGTTTACCTATAGGAGGAGTGAGAGCATTCTACACTGGACACAAATCTAAAACAGGCAGCGTAGCAGTTGACAACAGAGTATTTAAACTGAGCAGCATTATTTCCATCCCCCCTCCCAAACCCTATTCTTATTGCCGCACAACAAAATATGCACCAAAAATATACTTTGGGTGGATGCAATGTAAATTCAATATCTTAAATGTCATTTTTAAAAATATTAATGCTGTACTTCTGGCTAGGATTATATAAGGTTTATTACCACAGGATTGGAGGCACAAGAAACCCACAACTAAACACAATCGCTGGAGTAATCAGGCTTCCAGCCTGACAAACTGCCTACTCACAAGAGTGGTCAGGTGGCCGAATTCCTTTGCAGTGCTCTTTATAGTCACCTCCCAGCCCCAATACCCACTTGAGGCAGGGCTAGAGTAGACTGAATCTTGACTGGCTTTTCCCCAGGAGGGGGCAAAGCTGAAGCTTGACTCCTTTTCCTCCCTTTCCCCATTGCACACAGCTCGCCATCTGGCATTGTCAGGAGAATCTCTGTTCAAAATTTGGCTGTGGCTAGAGACAAAAAACAGGAGAAGATGCTTCTCTCCATTGCTAAACAATAACCTCATTAGCAGAGGTGCAAAGGGGGAGATAATGATGGCAAATATTTAGAAAACAATGGGATATGTTTCAGCTGTGTGTGTGTGCACATGCACAATTATAAAGAAGCAGGAGTACTGCAAGGAGCTAGAGTTGCGTATATTTCTCCTGGACAATGCATCTCTTCCCTGACTTGCAGACCTCACCTGCTATGCCAGCCACAGCTCTGCCAATGCAC